AGCATGTTATGCCGTAATTTTATTGAGAGCGATGGCTTTGTCATTAATTGGCTTATTTGAATAACTTCAGTATTATTTTGCTGTATTTAGTTGGGCTTGTATATCTCTGATCTTATTTCACATATGCTTTTGTATTTGTTTATACTTTACAAGTTCTGATCTTACAGTGCACCTGTAAAGACAATTCATGGGATTTCCTTATTGACCATTTAAGCTTAACTGAAGCAAGAATGCCTTATTTAAACTTACACAAACAGTTGGTGCCTTGCCAACATTTTCTAAGCTCTATATAGGTCTTTCTCCTTCCCTGTAGTAATAGAAACCATCCCATTACAAGGAAGATTATTTCAGACAAAGTATTATTTTAAATCAGTTGTGTAACAGGCTTTGAGGGTATTGGAAGGTCTAATTACATAGTCTTTGAAACTTTTAAGACCAATGTCAGTCTTAGCACTTGTAGTTTTTTACAAGTGGTTTCAGGGATAGTGATATTTCTCCTCCACTCCCCTCCCCATGTTCAGAGTAGAATTGTCAGCTTTATTAATAGGTATAGTAATTATTGTGTTGTTCTTTGTTGCCACAGAAATATAGAGGCTTCTAGTTAGCAAATCTGAGGTGAAGATTATATTTGTGTAGTTTTTAAAATTTTATTAAAAAATTTTTTTTGACATTTATTCATTTTTGAGAGAGAGATAGAGTGTGAGTTGGGGAGGGGCAGAGAGAGAAGGAGACACAGAATCTGAAACAGGCTCCAGGTTCTGAGCTATCAGCACAGAGCCTGACACGGGGCTTGAACTCACGAGCAGTGAGATCATGACCTGAACCGAAGTCAGATGCTTAACCTACTGAGCCATCCAGGCACCCCTATATTTGTGTAGAGTTTTTTTTTTTTTTTTAATGTTTTTATTTTATTTCTAGGAGAGAGAGAGACAGCGTGAGCAGGGGAGGGTCAGAGAGAGAGGGAGTCACAGACTCTGAAACAGGCTCCAGGCTCTGAGCTGGCAGTCAGCACAGAGCCTGATGCGGGGCTCGAACCCACGAACCGCGAGATCATGACCTAAGTGAAAGTCGGACGCTTAACCGACTAAGCCACCCAGGCGCCCCTATTTGTGTAGAGTTTTAATGTGTAAAAAACATCAAGCATTTTCCTTCTTAAAATTATTATAATTTTAGGCATGCCTGGGTGGCTCAGTTGGTTGAACATCTGACTTTGGCTCAAGTCATGATCTCATGGTTTGAGTTTGAGCCCCGAATTGGGTTCTCTGCTGTCATTGCAGAGCCCTCTTTGGATCCTCTGTCTCCCCTTCCCTTTCTGCCCTTCCCTGGCTTGCACGCTCTCTCTGTGTCTCTCAAAAATAAACATTTAAAAAAATTATTGTAATTTTTAAATTATAAAGGAGAACTTTTGCTCTTGATTTTGTTTATTCTAATATTTTTCATTCAAGATATGCCCAATTTTATCTATTTGGCAGGAGTTTTAGAGATTGCTTTAAACTGCATCTATAATTGTCCATCTTGAATACACAGAAGAAGCAGGCTACCACTCCTCCCAATTTCTTCTTCTGTATGAGTTCTCATACTAATATAGTCTGTCCAGTCTGGGAAACATTCCATTGTGAGGAATGTAATTTGATTACTAGAATTACTGTGAAATAACATTTAGCTACAAAATGTGTAATCTAATAAAAGACCCTATTTAAATCTACAAATAAGGAATAAACTTGGGGTGCATGAGTGGCTCAGTTGATTGAGCATCCGACTCTTGACTTTGGCTCAGGTCATAATCCCAGGGTCGTGGGATGGAGGCCTGTGTTGGGCTCTGCGCTGGCCATGGAGCCTGCCTAAGATTCTCTCTCTCCCTCTGTGTCTCACTCTTATTCTCTCTGTCTCTGACAACAAAAGTAGTAATAATAATAAGCTTAAGTGTGTTCTGTCTGCTTCAGAATCTTAACTGTTGAAAAAAATACATATATAAAAATAAACTTGAATTCTAATTGTTTACAGATCTTGGACATAAACATGGAACAATTTGATCAGAGTTCTGATTTTACCAATTGCACCGAACTAGCTGCATAGAAAATACTGTGTGAAACTTAATTGAGATAGGTTTTAAGTGACCAGTTGTTTAAAAAAAAAAAGCAGCAAGAAATATAGGAAACAGATATTATACCATTTCTGTTAGTATACTTAACTGGAAACTTGTCTGACCCTGACTTTAAGTCATTTATAATTGGGTCAAAGTATAAAGTTAGTATAATGCCACTATACTGTTGCTGAAAACAGTCTTCATTTCTACATTTGTTAAAATTCTGCTTAAAATCTGTTATTAGAGCTTTACTATATTAAGGAAAACGACTATGTTAAGCTCCAGAAATATTTATTGCAGCCTTGTTCCTATCATTTCAATCAATATATCAGTAACCCACAAATCAGTAAATCCAATAAAGGCTATTCTCAATTTTGCTTACTCCATTTCGGTAAAAGGTAGTCTAAACAATCAAGCTGATGTCATGTTTCAAAATATTTCAATTAAAATCAAAATGAGAGAGATGCATTGTTTTGGAACCTATGGCATTATTTAAGCATTTTTTTCCTAATGCATACTTATACAGACATCATTTAACGTTGTTAGTTTTAGTTCATGTAGAGTAAGATGAGAGAAATTTATAAATGAAAACCTTTATAAAATGTTAGCTGAGTGAGGTGCCCGAGTGGCATAGTTGGCTAAGTGTCTGACTTGATTTTAGCTCAGGTCATGATCTTGTGGTTCATGAATTTGAGCCCTGCATCCGGCTCTTGGCACAAGCCACGTCTGCTTGGGATTCTCTCTCCCTTTCTCTCTGCCCCTCCCCTGCTCATGCTTTCTCTCTCTCAAAATAAATAAACTTAAAAAAAAAAAAAAGATTAATAAAAAATGTTGAATACTGTTTATGAAAATTTAGGGGTAAAAAGTTTTATACGAAATCATTATCATCTGCATTCCATAAAATGTACTTTAAATGGATACACAAAGCTTAGTATTTCTTTCTGCTCTATCTAAATAACCAGTGATTAAACATTTTAATCTAGTTATTTTGGTTTCAAAAATAGTTAAAACTAGATCTTATGAAGTATATTCTTTGTTGTTATTTATTAGAGATGTTTTTATTCAGAGGAGATTTGTTTTACATGTTTGATGTATAAGGTGCAAATATTCATCTGCCCCATCTTTACGGTCTGCTACTTTAATGACAAGCAGATAAAAGACTCTTTTGAAAAAGTTTACTTGCTAGGCTTCTTTACAGTCCTTTCTTGTAAAAACAACTGATGCCCAAAGGAGAGTTAAAATATCTTTAAACCAACTGTCAAAGCATGGCTTCCCCAGAGGTAATCCTGTTAAGGGGTCAGACCCATGCATATGGACACTTCTAGTAACCTGTCTGTCACCTGGTTATTTTCTGCAATTGGTAAATTCCAAAGTGGTACTTTTCTGTAGTGGCAGATTATTATCGGAGTTATTTCCATACATTGTCCATATATATTTATTGCATACTATTTGAGCTGGGTTTTGGAGGAAAAATACTCAAAGGTGGGAATCCCTGTCTTCCAGAAAATAAGACATATACCATACATGAAAAATTGAGATATATTTAAATAAGCAGTTTAAGATTTTCTAATGGGAATATACTGACTTGGAATAATAGAGACCTATTTACTAAAATTCCACATAGAAAAATTGGTAAAGATTTTTTCATATCGAAGTTTAAAAAAATCTTAGTTGTGGAATATAAATTGTAAGCCTTTTGTAAAGGAGTTGTGCAAGTTTTTTATTCATTTATGTTCTTTAATCCCCATAGTAATCCAATAAAATAACATTGTTATTCTTAGTTTAGAGATGAGGAAACAGAGACTGATAGAAGTTAAAAAACTTAGCCATAGGGGTGCCTGGGTGGCTCAGTCAGTTAAGCCTCAAACTTCAACTCTGAGCCCCGTATCGGGCTCTGTGCTGACAGCTCAGAGCCTGGAGCCTGCTTCAGATTCTGTGTCTCCCTGTCTCTCTGCCCCTCCCCTGCTCATGCTCTGTCACTGTCTCTCTCAAAAATGAATAAACATTAAAAAAAACCCAACTTAGTCATAATCTCATAGTTACTAAAACCTGTCTGGTTGGAACTTGGATCTAAATCTTACTCTTAACCATATGGTTTGCTGTATTGTTTCTCTACATTGATATGTCCTTTAATGCACCATGCAATCAATACTTGCTGTTTTTGTCTGGAATCTGATTATCTTATAAAGGGAGCTTATTCTCTGATTTTAACATCATTTATTCTTTAAACTGTAGAGTCTTTTTTGGAGATTTTTAATGATAACTAGAAGAAAAGAATTATCAGTTTTTAAAAAGACTCATTTGGACTTGTTTTTTTAAAATGAAATTGCAAAAAATATTTGAAGAGCCTGAGTTATTAAAAGATTGAACAGAAAAATGCCCAGTTAGCTGCAAGGTAATAATTTCCCCACCCCAATGGTTAATGTTCACTTTCAGCAACCTTTCTTTTGGATAGCTTACAATCAGCCTTTATGCTGATTATACTTTTTTTAAAATTTTTAGCTGTCTTTGAAAATAAACATTAATCATTTAATGTGTGTGGTGAATTGTTTTTAATTGAGGGCAAAAAAAAAGTAGAAGGGAGATATATATGATTCTAATTGTGTTTCTAATGATCATTAGCTTCTAAAAAAATAAAAGTTGATTGGCTGATGAATGATGCATCCTTTTTCCATTTTCTGAGTTTTAAAAATCTTCTAAATTAAAAGAACACTTTTTAAAAAGTGATTGGTTTTGTCTGAAAAATCAGAGGTAGTCTTGTTTAGTTTGACTAGTATTGTAAATTTTTAAAAATATTGATCTTTGTTCCAAATTCTTTTCTTTCAAAATTAGACACGATTAACTATTTTATGTAATCTGGAATTGTGTTCTTATACACACACACCCAAACTGATGTCATTATTTTTACTTACAGGAGCCATCTAGAACAGTTTCGGGCAGATATAAAAGGTAAGAATCCTTAAGTTTTGACCTGCAACATATAGTTAGACATGGCTTAACTAACTAGACCTGTTTCAAACACCTTGTTGAATAAGAACCTTAATAGTGTGCTGTTAAGAAATTATATTTGTAGGCAGGAGTGTAGTCCTGTCTGTCTGACCACGATTTATTCTGACATACCCTGCTGTCTTGCAAAACTGTACACACCATAAATTTGTATGGAACTGATGACATTAGCAAAATAAAAACTTAGAACCAGTTTCCCTTATGTATTTGAACATTGAAAATACTTATACTATCTTTATTAGCTTGGGCTGCCATAACAAAATACCAAAGAAAGGATGGCTTAAACAGAAATTACTTTGCTCATCGTTCTGGAGGCTTGGAAGTAAGAGATCAGAGAGCCAGCAAGGTCAGGCTCTGGTGAAGACCCTCTTCTCAGTTGCAGACTAAAAACTACTTGCTTTGTCCTTACTGTGGTAGAAGGAGCCATGAGCTATCTCAGGTCTCTTATCAGAGCATTAATTCCATCATGAAGTCTCCACCTTTGTGATGTAAGCACCTCTGAAAAACCCAATCTGCTAATACTACCACATAAATGAGGATTTCAACTTACGAATTTGGGGGTGGTGGTGGTCTAAAACATTCAGACCATACCAAGTCCTCTACACAATGAGCAATGCTTTTACCAGAAAATGTGCTTGAGTGTATATGCACCTGTATAGGAAGAAAATCAGAATTAGGTATGAGAAGTTGTTTAATGGAGATAGTGGGGGCATTAGCTTCCTTTTTCCCTGTTGAAGGGAAATCTTCTGTATAAAGATTACAGAAGATGTCATACATGTGCATACAATCCTAGAATCATGGTAGACCTTGTCAAGTGTTTATAATGTCCAAGGTGCTTTACTTGGGGAGATCTGTCATTCAATTCTCACAATTATCTTTTTTAAAAAAAAATTTTTTTTAATTTTTTTTTTTTAATGTTTTATTTATTTCTAGGAGAGAGAGAGAGACAGCGTGAGCAGGGGAGGGTCAGAGAGAGAGGGAGTCACAGACTGAAACAGGCTCCAGGCTCCGAGCTGGCAGTCAGCACAGGGCCCGACGCGGGGCTCGAACCCACGAACCGCGAGATCATGACCTAAGTGAAAGTCGGACGCTTAACCGACTAAGCCACCCAGGCGCCCCTTTTTTAAAAAAATTTTTAAATGTTTTATTTATTTCTGAGAGAGACAGAGACAGCGTGAGCAGGGGAGGGTCAGAGAGAGAGGGAGATACAGAATCTGAAACAAGATGCAGGCTCTAAGCTGGCAATCAGCACAGAGCCCGACGTGGGGCTTGAACCCATGAACTATGAGATCATGACCTGAGCCGAAGTTGGATGCTTAACCAACTGAGCCACCCAGGCACCTCCAATTCTTACAATTATCTTAAAAATTAGGTACAGTAGGCACAATATTTACTTTCATTTTGTAGATGAGAGAAGTGTGATTCAAGAGGTAGAATAATTTCACAGGGGTGCAAAGCTGGTTGAGAGCAGGGTCTAGATATGAACTCAGACAACCTGACTCCAGAATGGACATGCTTGTACCATCTACTTAGATTCATACATATAAAACCTTTGATTTCCTCTATTTGTGTGTTAAAGTATTTGGTTGAAAGTTTTGGTTATTATACTCCATCTAAAATAAAACAGCGATTAAGAGAAGCTTTAATTTTAATACATATTAATAAATTTAATAATTAAAAATTTTTAAAGTTTATTTGAGAGATAGTGAGCATGTGAGTATGAGGCAGGGGGTGAGGGAGTGAGAGAGAGAGGAGAAAGAATCCCAAGTAGGCTTCTAGGCCCTTGGTATCAGCAAGGAGCCTGACACAGGGCTCAAACTCACAAACCATGAGATCGTGACCTGAGCTGAGATCAAGAGTCAGACACTTAACCAACTGAGCCACCCAGGTGCCTCTAAGCTTCTAATGTTTATACATTGTTTAATAATTATTACTTAACATGAATAGCTTCAACTAGAAATAATCTTTTCTTTTGCCAGAAACTATTACCAGTCAAATAGCTTTGATTTGGCTTATTTCCAGGCCACCTCAAACCCCAAAAAAATCTTTTATCATTAGTTTTAGGTTTGGGGAATAAAGATAAACTTCAGTAACTTAACAAATGTATAAATATTTGTTTATTAAATAATAAACCTTGGGACACCTGGGTGACTCAGTCGTTTAATCCACCGACTTCAGCTCAGGTCACGATCTCAAAGTTTGTGGGCTCAAGCCCTGTGTCCAGCTCTGGGCTGATAGCTTGGAGCCTGGAGCAGCTTTGGATTCTGTGTCTCCCTGTCTCTCTCTGCCCCTCCCCAACTTAGGCTCTGTCTCTCTCTCTTTCTCTCAAAAATAAATAAACATGAAAAAAATGTTTTTTAAAAATAAAAAATAAATAAAAATAAACCTTGAATTATAATTAGCACTTTTCAGATTAGTGTTCTTTGAGTAGAATCAACAAGGGAATAATTTTCTTATAAATAACCCTCAAAAGCTTTATTTATATATCATTGTGTTAAATCAGGAAGAAAATTGGTTTTCCAACATTTATGTTTTTATTTTTAAGCTTTTTAGACCATTATTTTACTTGAGACCTAGTCCTGCACTGGTACTTTTGTTATTTTTGTGGCCTAGAGCATGTTTTGTTACTTTTCAGGTTTCAGACATTTAGTCCTGTTAAATATTGTTATAATATGTACATTCTTAAAAGCTTGTAGTCATTCACTGACTCACAGTGACTCGTAGTTTGAATACTGTCTAAAAAGAAAAAAATAATAAAATAAAAACATAAAACCTATGATCTATATATGAAACTATCAGTTGCTTATTTAGAGGAATTTGTGCATCAGTAGTTTGTTACTTTCATTAATCTGTCAGCAAGCAGTAGCAATGACTAGAGAATTGATATTCCTTGGTGATTTGTGTCTGCCGACTAATGGGGACCTTAAAAAAGGAGGAATGGCTAAAAGATTAGAAATTTGGCCTCATATGTTAGAAAATATTTTCAGTACACCAAATAACTTATGGTCTCCTGTATACAGCTAGACAAACTCTTAAAAAAATCATTAGAGGGATGCCTGGGTGGGTCAGTTGTTGGTTAAGCATCCATCTCTTGATTTTGGCATAGGTCATGATCTCATGGGTTTGTGAGTTCGAGCCACACGTTGGGCTCTGTGATGACAGTGCAGAGCCTGCTTGATATTCTCTCTCTCGTTAGCTCTCTTTCTCTCTCTCAAAATAAATAAATAAATAAACTTAAACCATTAGATACCAGAACCCACAAGACAAGTTTATATGTGTGCTGTTTTAAATTATGAATTAAATACTTAATTTTTTCTTACAGATACCAAGACTGTACTTTTTGAGCATTGAGCCTGTTATACACTCACTCTAGTTAGCCTGTATTTTATTGAATCAACTTGTTTATGTAGAGCATCCCTCTCTCTCTCTTTTTTTTTTTTTTTTTATATTTTTATTTATTTCTAGGAGAGAGAGACAGCGTGAGCAGGGGAGGGTCAGAGAGAGAGGGAGATACAGGCTCTGAAACAAGCTCCAGGCTCTGAGCTGGCAGTCAGCACAGAGCCCGACGTGGGGCTCGAACCCACGAACCGCGAGATCATGACCTGAGCGAAAGTCAGACGCTTAACCGACTAAGCCACCCAGGCGCCCCGTAGAGCATCTCTTATATACTAATTTCCTTTATGAAACTTGCTTAGACACTGTTTGGAGGTGGAGATAATGCAATTTCTGAAATTCAAGGTTTAGGAAAGATGGGTCAGTCTCATCATGTATTTGTAGTTTGTGTTTCCCAACGTTTGACTTTGTTAATATGCTTAGTTTTTGTTTTTTTCAAATATGTGACTTTGTTAATATGCTTAAATCAAGTTTATGGTGCATTGGTTAAAATAAGGATTTTTTTAAAAAGGGAGGACAGATTATTAGATGTGTGCTTGTAGATACTTTGCTCAATATGTCTAAATAAAACTGTCATACACTTTAAAAAAAGGCAAGACAGTTCTAAATGACTTTAAAGGATAGGATTAACCAGGATGTATAATTTATCATTTTCATTTAAGTGTGTAATTCAGCCATCAAGATTCGTTCTGATTTAAAAACATGGGAAGCAAGTTAAGACAATACAAAGTTTTATCTCACATAGTAATTAACTGGTCCTTTTGTTTTCACAAATATACTTAATGCAGTATTAATTACTTTATTAAATAATCATGCAAAATCTAAGTGCTTCTAAGTCCTCCTCCTTTCTAGTAACCTTAACTTTAGGTTACATTTATGTAGCTTTTTTTTTTTATTTTTTTTTTATTTTTTTTTTTTAATGTTTTTATTTATTTCTAGGAGAGAGAGAGAGAGAGAGAGACAGCGTGAGCAGGGGAGGGTCAGAGAGAGAGGGTGTCACAGACTGAAACAGGCTCCAGGCTCTGAGCTGGCAGTCAGCACAGAGCCCGACGCGGGGCTCGAACCCACGAACCGCGAGATCATGACCTAAGCGAAAGTCGGACGCTTAACCGACTAAGCCACCCAGGCGCCCCCATTTATGTAGCTTTTAATGGTGTATGCAAAGCACCTTCACATACATTACCCAGCAATAGTCCTGTCAGGTAGGGGACGGCAGGTGTCTTTCCAAAGTGAGGAAAAAGGCTTTAGTTCAGTGAACCCTTTGTTACACCACATTCCCTCTGGGCTGATATTAGTTAAGTTACAAGAGAGGAAATATTACAAGATTTTGCTTTTATAGAGAGAATGGACACATCACAATATGAATGTTAGAGTAGACACTATCTTAGCTAAAACATAAGTGCAAAATCCTATTTCAAATCTATAATGTTTCATGTTATTGTTGTACTTCTTTCTAGAACTTTAATTCATGTAGCTTCATCAGTACTTTTTTTCCCTTAAATTTTTTACAGTTACTAAAAATGGTCAGGGTAGAATTTTTATGCAACTTA